CATGCCTGCACAACTATTTAGCTCTTCTGTTTGTTGTGCTGTTTCTTCTGTGTAGTTTCATCAGACATTCGCAGCTCAATGACCCGAAATCAGCTGAAAAAGATGAGAAAACAAAAAGGCTGGACACCTCAAAAAACAGCTCTCCTGCAGACTGATTGTTTTTGGTTCACCGTCCTCAGGTGCTAATTCCATCAGAGCGCAAGGTGTCTGCAGGTGAAGATGACAAGTCGTGCCACTTGGCCTTCGAAGAGGATTGCAACAACTTCCCTTGCAAGCCTTTGATGATGCAGCCAGCGTCACCTTGGGAGCGGCTTGACTCACAACTTCGAACTGGCGTTTTTGCGGCGTCGCCTTGTGAGTGTCACATTCGCCCTAGGATCCTTTGTTCCTTCCTATTTTTTTTGCTGAGGCATCCCGTCGCTGGACAATGGTTTATGTTGGATATCTCCTTTGTCATCGAGGAACTGGCAGAGTCCTTCACCATCCGTGCCCCTCCAGACTTTGAGCTGGCCGTCACGGGGAATGCCAGTGAGTGCTTTCTTGTGGAGCACAGCTTGCCAAACTTAGAGAATTGCACCATCTATCCAGGGCAGACCAGTGAGAGGACTGGTCCCATCATGGTCATGTACTTCTCAAACCCCTTGGAACCGCAAAATTCCTACACTTTGAGGCAAGACTGGTACCATCTTCGTGTTTGGGTTCACCATCCACAGAATTGCACAGGTGGAAACACCACGGATGGACGTTGTTTGGGCCTGGAGGGCGAACGAGAATGGACGTTGGCTGTCAAGATGACTGAGCCAGTTCCTTTGTGGGAAATCGTGAAAGGTGGGGGCCTCCTTTGCAATGAGTTCTTTCTCGGTAAAACTAAGCAAGTACTCATTTGTTGGTGCAACGCTGGCTCCCTGGTCCAGGCTCCTATGAGATCTTTGTAGACGAAAAGTCTGCCAAGGACGTCTTCGATGCGCATGCTGAGAAAGACGAATCTTTCACCGATGAGGCGGAAGAGGTGGAACGTGTGGAAACCGTCGAGGGGGGGCCACCCAACGAATGTCGCTGAGGAGGAGAAGACTGAGCTTTCGCATGCAAAGAACGATGCGAAACAAAGTGCCCAAGAGAAAGAAGAGAGCAGCAACTCCCTCTTGGAAGAAGTTCACACATCTTTGAGAGACAGACATCATGAGAATGTTCGCCAGAAAGACATTCGTGGCCACAGAACTCAGACAGTACACCAGAGGGTCCACACCAAGCAGAGGAGGGTCTGAGAGCGAAATACACAGAGTAAGAGCCTGCGAGCTTGTAGCAAAAAGGCGCGCATGTTTGTCTGCGAGCAGGAGAGCTGAAACTGAACGCATCCATAGATACGCTTCTACTTGACCTTCTTTAAGTATTCGGTTACATGCATTGCGCTTTCAGTGCCAGAAGTCTGAAGACTGTTGACCGACACGACTTCCAATCTTCTACCAGCGCAAAGCCAAGCCTCCGGGCGGTGTGACTAAGATCTATTTCCTGGACAAGTTGAAGGATTTGGAAGCCACAGGTGAATCAGCTGACCGGGCAATTGAGGAGGTTATCCATGTGTCTTGGCGAAGCATCATCTATTGGAGCCGTCAGTCTGGGTAACATCAGCAGATTGATTTGCTGATTAACTTCCATGATGCTGCTGTTCTGTTGTTGCATTTTCTCCTGCCTGTGCAGTTGAAACTGGCCACATGTAACATGTATACCCAACTGACCCTGCTCTTGGCTTTGACATGCTTCGGTCACAAATCTTCAGGCCGTCGGCGTGTCGGTGGGCTTCGCCTGGGAGCAGCATCATGGTTGCAGTTGGAGCTCACATGGCTGCGTAGAACACCGGAGTTTGTGCGTGATGGCAGCGTGTTCTAACCCCTATGAATCTCAGGTCCTTTGACGCGGGAGTGGAGACCATTGGCAACTTGATTCAGGGCGTTGCTAGTTTGTTCGCAGTGAGTGGTTTCCTGCTAGAACTATGTACTCTTCTCTCTTTCCTATTCATGAACCAGCCGGACTTCCGGCTGGAGCTGAGCAAGTGATAAGTTACGCGTAAAATGACTTGGTATCCGAGGTGAGCTTACGATGCATATGGGAAGCTGGTATCCTGTTTGGGCCCGTCTAGCCTTTGCTTGTATGATCAGTGCTGTCCGGCAGCCCAGTGAGACAGGAACCAGCTAGTGACCCCTGAGGGCCTGAGGGAGGCTCTTGCTGTTGGATCAAAACCGGTTAGAGTGGGGTGAGAATGCTAGTCACCAAGTCGCAGCACTCTTCATTGTGGGTTTGTTTTTTCGAAGCATTCTGGAAGCTTAAAGCTGGGAAGCACACCGGGGGGATAGGACATAACAATATATATATATATAACATTGATAAGCCTGCATGTGTTCATTTTGACCGGACATTTTGTGGAACCAATTGGGTGTTTGAAATGGGATCCAACGATGCACTGGGGTGACCTTTCTTCGACTGGTTTACATTTCTAATGCCATGCCACCCCTTCTTTCGGTTCACTCCGACGTCTCTTTGTGGCCTGTAGCTGGTCTGTGATATTTTTGGCAATCTACACGTTGCATTGCGTAGGTGGTCATACAGCTATTAAATTTAAAAGCTATTTATGATTAATTGCATGTCACAGGTTTCTGCTACAAGCCTGGAGGGCCTTGAAACATTTGGTTTTAAATGCTCCCTTTCTGATGCATTGTTATGTTTGGCAATCATACCGGCTTTGGGTTTCTGACGCTTACCTTGCTGCTGCATGGAAAACAGAGGGAGGTCTTGCTTCATTTTTTCGTAACGAACAGCAACCTTGATGGAGCTTTAGCAACGTCTGTATTTTGATCTAAGCAAGGCAAAGACAGTTCTCCTCGATAGGGTGTAGTAGAGCAAGTACATCTGAATACAGTAGCAGCTTTTTTTCAATAAGAGAGGCAAAGGAACATAGTCCATGGTTTTGGTAAACAGATTTGACAACTTGGCAGCTGGATGCCGGACAAATATATCAACGTCCGCTCTCGACCCCCTTCAGTCCTTTATGAACCTGTTGAGATGCGACAGCACCAGCTGACAGTTGAGGTCATGATACCTGCTTGGCGGCTGTACTTGATCAAAAAGTCACTGGAACCTTGGACGATTTTGAGGGACGCTGTTGTGACTTCGGTAACGGCAGGGCAATGCAAGCACGGTATATATTTGCCCAAGTCACACTATGGTCTTTACACACTTGGCGACCAAGGAGGCACATGAAAAGTGTAGAAACTGCTCCCTGGCAGCAAGGAGTTGTTAGATGCTGGACCCTGGATCATTTTGTAGTTGGACAGCTCAAGCTTTTTTGTGTTCGGTGCGGCTGCTTTGACAACTTCCGACAACTTTTTGACCATTTTGACTCTGGTTACTTCGACATGAACGAGTCGCTCGGTGCTACAGTCAGGCGGAGCAGTTCTGGTGATCGATGCTCGGTATTGTACCTCGGACTTCCCAGACATGTTGATCGAACATGAGAGTCTTGGGCTCTTTTGTTGAGCTTGAACAGAATCAGGATAGCACACAATAATCCACAATGGTGCGAACACGTGAAGTCCTTGTCAAGGCAGTGTAGGGATGAAAAGAACTTCATGCCTGTTCTACAGAAGCACTGATAATACTTGGCCTGACCTATACACTATTTGTTCAGTTGCTTTCCTTAACGTCCCAAAGAGTTCCTGGAGGGAGCTCTCTTGTACTTGAGGCCACATGTGCTCTGCTTCCAAGCCACTTGACGATGAGACACCAAAGGCCGCACCGTCACAGTTTCTGTGAATCACGAAGTGTGTCTGTGGACAGGCGAGATGACAGAGCGATTTGGTTTAAGGCAGGGATTTCGGGGCTTTCTTCTTTCCAGCACGATGAGATTGCCTGGTTCCTTGTGAAGGATATACTATATATATATATATGTATATTATATTATATATATATATATTGAGGTCAACAATGGATCGGTTGGTTTTGAAGGTGTGGCTCAGCATGGAGCTTGATCAATATGTGCGACACCTTCAAGAATCAAACCGTGTCAGGTGTTTTAAAGTGAAGATTTGACCTTCGACTCTCTTGAGAATCACTGAATTTGACCTTTCAGCCTTGCAGCTCTTGAATCTTAGAGCTTTTGCTCCAGCTCTGGAATTCTTGACCTCTCAACCCTTGCTGACGTCACGAATGACTGATATCAGGAATTGGTGCACTACTGTAATTCCAGCGCTGTGATGCAACTGTTTCATGAAATCCTGCTGAAGTGTCTGAACTTTCCTCGAAGGAGGAAGTTCTCCCAAATCCTACCAACTACCAGCCTGTCACCTTGGCACCTGAAGATAAAACTAGCTTGCAGAAGCGGGCATCAACATCACTATTATATCACATCATTTTCCCAATCTTGTGTGCCCAGAAAGTATCAGAAAGTGCGAACGTGTGCTGCCTGATACTCTATTAGTCATAGCATGGCGCCAAACAAAATGGCCACAGCCAAGGTTGAAAGCATTCAAGCATCTAAGCACCTCAAAAACGTTGAGCTCTGCGGCTAACGGCTTGCGGCCAATGTGCCAAGCTTGTGAGCGGAGCATGGTGGAATTTGGTGAGGCAAACAACATGTTGAGAGCTCACAATACTTGTTGAAGGGTGCAGATGCGAACAAAGCTTTTCAAGGTGGTACGTACATTGCCACTCCCTTTAGAGTTGGCCTGGACAGGCGCAAGCTTTATGCAGCGGCTTTACCAAGCCAGATGCTTTGCATTTTTTCATGAAGCATGAGAGATGCCCGTTGCTGCGGCCACAAGTCCCAATATTTCTGCCAGTGCCGCAGTGCTGATGAAGGAAAGTCAGCCCAATCAGCTCGAGATGAAAAACAGATCTTTGACATCAAAGTGTAGCGGTTCTATTTTGTGTGCGAACCATAAAGAGCAATGTATGGCCGAACAGGACTGAATCAGCACCTGAAAAGGGATATTTCACACGTTCGCCAGGGAGCGAGTGCCTCGCAAGTTGCTTCCCCAGAAGTTGCTCTCAAATCGTAGCACACTCGAAAGAATCCGTTTCGGCCTGATACGAAAGATCTCTTGAACTCAAGCTTCTCACCAATGTCTGATGTACTTAGGAATTGGGCAGAGGCTTCTGTGCTGCTGGCAGACTCAGCTCTTAAGCTGGAGGCCACTTCACAGACGCTGTGGCACTTCCAAAGAATCGGTGTAAACAGGTCAACATAAAAGTGCAACAGCTTCCATTTCTGCAGTGTGCAGGTGAGTACGTAGCGTGTTTTGCAGCCAATACACTTTATATAGGCTTTGAGTGCCGAGAGCACTGACGCGGTTCAGGATTCAAACGAGCCAGTTGACCAGAAGTTGGCCGAGGAGAATGCCTCATTTGGGTCTGCAGAAACCCAGCACTGAGATGAGATGAAATTGAAAAGCACCAGACACTGCAAAGTCAGTCAAAGCCCGCTGCAAGTAGGTGCATCATAAGATATTGGCTTCCCCGAAGCATGGTGTTTCGGCCCATCTTCTCCTTAGCAAACATCTCTTTGGTTGGAGATCGCCTTGACACGATCCCCTCATTTTGAGAAAAAGTATGACGGGTTTGAGTCAAGCGTTTTGAAGTTTGGGTTTGGTTTACTCAACGGCAGGATCTCTTGGCAGCCTTGATAGAGGCACAGCGACCAAGTCAGGAAGCTCTGCGACACACAGAGTGGCCCGAGACAAACATTTGGATTTGGATCTCTTGCGGCAAAGCCCTTTTGTTGTTTCCAAAGACTCATGGTGGAGTTGACGGATTGGCATCGATGAAAACAACAGGTTTTGAACCTACAGAGACTCGAGACCCCCTATATATATATATACCATATTTATTTAGAGAAACATGCCAAACAGATACATTCTTTCGATTCACTTTCACCGTTCCCGCATCTATTTTGTGGTCATAGCCATAATGACAACATTGCTGGTTTGCTGTTCCATCTAAGGTCAGGCATTGGAGGTTTTTTGTGCAGCTCGCAGTGACTGATGTGTCTTGGCGGAAAGGGGGCGGTTTTTGATTGGTTGGATTGCCTAGTTAACGCACGCTTTGAGCTTTAGAGAGCAGTTCAAGTGATGAGTATGGAGATGACACAGCCAAGTCTACTATGGAGAACAGAGTCAGGAAGGAGCTGTGAAGACTGGATTTGAACAGAGTCTTTCATGTCCTCAGTGGCAAGGGATCTAGGATGATCTAGGTCGACTTTGACACTTTTTGAAGCGCTAGACTTCACGCTCTGTCCCAGGCACAGCGGGCAGCGAATTTGCTCAAGAGGTGGAATTGGTGAGTTCGATTCCGGTCTGAAGTGGAAAGGCCTCTGATAGCAGAGCTCCCATCTGAGGGATGTTGGAGGCTATTTCGCTTGGGGGCGAGAGGGTGATGGAGGAGACGTTTTCTAGTTCTTGGAGCTTATTGCGCGAACCCTGCAGGGAGCGTGAGATGAGGTCCAAAGCAGACCCGAAGGCAGGGATTCATCGATGTACGTCAAAGCTTGATCCGATCACGTGGGACCTGGCGAGCGGGAACAATTGTGGGTTACACTGTTGCACTTCACGCATTGTTCAGACCTGAGTGTGAGCGAAGACTATCAAGTCAGCGCATGAGGTTCTGGAAGAGCTGAAAGCAGGTGCCCTTGGGATATAATTATGGATGTGCCAGTTGAGCTGACATCATTGTTTGTGGTAGCAACTGCATGGGTGAGTGTAGCTCTTTCATCATAGAAGTAAGTAGAGCAGCAGAAAGCAGGGATCAGAACCCACAGCAGGCATATGGATGGATGGAAACAGCAGGATTAGCAGGTAGCCATGGAGACTGAACTCATATCACTTTGTACTACGGCATTTGGCTCGATTCGACACTGGAAAAGAGAAAGCTCTTGACCAGGCAGGCCATCACGAGTCAACTGTCAACTCGCATTTGTCAATCAGTATGACTCACTTAGGTTCTGTACTTTGGGGACAGTGTCTCCTCAGAAAATACCCAGTTGGTGTCTCAAAGGACATGAAAGGCTAAAAGGGCTGAGCCGATTTCTTATATCTATCAGTGGTTGTTTGACCATTTTGACAGGATTGGTCCATCTGAACAAACAGCCGGGGGCACTCGCGAGCGCTCATTTCCGGCACAGGCCATCCTGCCGCACGGCAGTTCCATTGCAATTCCACGATTTACGTACCTACTTTTGTTTCCTCCTGCGAGAACCTTAGCTTGGGCAAGCTGATAGAAAGACCAGAAGCTCTCATCCTGTCTTGCTTTTGGTACCTGCTGAAGAGCATCTCAAGATATTCTTGTATCGCAAGAAGGCACTCTTGTTGTCTCTAGTTTGGGTTGTTTCCTCCTAGGCAAGCCATCCCCATGCTGCTTGGAAAGCAGAGTCAGGTCAGTCACGAGCAGTGACATTTCAAAGTGTACAGAACATACTCTAGGAATTGCTGTTTAGCTCGATGCGTGTGGAAGATTGATGCGAGCATTTTCAATTGTATTTGATCAAGCGCCAAGGGAAAAGACAGGCCGCTTCATTCTAGCTTCTATCCGTGAATTTGTTGCAACGCCTTTCGCGTTACTGAGCTGCAACTAAGCCACTGAGCAATGAAAGTATGTCAGCAAGATTAGGTGACGAAAGCAAGGCATTTTCATGCATTTGGTGACGTTGTCATTCCACTGGCAGCTTTTGTAAGAGCAGGCATCCGATCTCAGCGTTCAAGTGGAATCTTGCTTGCATTCTGGGCCATGTCTTGCCTTGGTTAATCCTTCCGCAGTTCTTCTTACAACGACTTATATACTCCCAGAGGCCCAGAGCGACCTTTGGCATGAATCATTGAAACCCAAAATGTCTTCTCTGGCAGCCCAGAAGTGTAGATCTCGTGGTGCCGAGGTGTTTCCCGCCCTTTGTTTGCTTCCTATGCTTTTGCTTCCAAAGTGCCACACAGCTGCATGCTCGTGTGAGGCTGAACGTTGTGCTGTCGAATCGTCGAGTTGTGAGGTGATGCTCCATATGACCACGGCGAAGTATGTTCGGAAGCTTAGTTGAGCTGTGAGATGAATGAGGTGGAGGATCTTGATGAGGCATGTCGAACTTCAGATGTCCCGAATTGTTCGGTTCATCAAGACGCGGTGAACCTTTCGCATTTTTGCACGGGCTAAAGCATGGGGGTCTTGGACCTCCCAGCTCTCAGTTGCTCCTTGAGGTAGTCCTCTCAGAGCCACACTTGAACCCAGCTGGAGATATAGGCGATGTGGACCAGTGACGGAGCTTTTGGACGGAGCTTCTGGAAAACACTCTGAGCCAGCATGGAAGCTCAAATCAAGCGACTGGCAGGACATCATTTGCTCGGCAAACAGGATGTCGACACGCGACTGAACTGCAAGATAATGATCTGCAACAGTCCTCCATGGAGGAAAATATCACAGCAGATGCCATGCAACGGAACGGCTACAGACCAAAATAGACACCGATGTTTTCATTCAAGCTTATTCCCGGCTCCTATCCAGAAAAGTGCATTTGCATCCTTGTATTTGAGGGAACAGATTTCTGAGGACTCTTTTGGATGCCATCTCCAGCAGTTCGCTCCTCTTGTTTGTAATGGGCGCAATGCTGCTGCGGGAGCTCAGGCAAGGGAATTGTAGCGCAGTGCTGGCCCATCACACAAGGCTTGGTACGAATTGCGCGTCTTGAACCCAAGGCTTTGGACCAAGCTATTCTTCAGCAACGCGATTCTCTTCATACTCAAAGGCTTGGGCTCAGACCCAGTCACCTGTTTGAGTCTCTTTGTGTTCAAAGGCACCTGGGATTGGATGACTGTTCTTCCAGATTCGATTGGATACCATGAGTGCGAGAGGAGGCGCGGGTGAAGCCACATCTCCTTGGTGTGCACTGGAGTCCCAAGACATTTGCGCTGAGCGATTTTTGAGAGAGCAGGAAGTCATCTATGTGGCAATCCAAACAAAAGATAGAATAAGTTTGAGAAAACAGCACGTATATGTTCCCCAAGTTTGACTTGTATGCCCAAACACAAAGCCAATGCCAACACGCAACACACAGCGAGGGGAGGCCATTTCTGCCATACCTCAAGCTTTTCAACTAGACTCAACAAACGGTCCACCCGCAGCTCAAAATTGCAAGCTCTTTGGGAATTTGAGAGAAGCCTGGAAAACACACACACAGACACACAGACCCGCACACATCTTCATCGCCACCAACCCCGCAGTCCCCAAGCTTTAGTCGAGTCAAGATTGAAAAAGCTTTAGACGATCTGCGCAAAATCAAGAGACACCCAGTCCTAGCAGCAACAGTCCGAACTGAGTTTATCGAAGACACATGGTTGAGCATGTACGCCGGTGTTCCCATCAGATCATGACCGCTGTAGCTCGGGAGGGCTTGAAGCTTCGTGGACCGTGGAGGTTGAAAGAAGCGCAGGCGGTGCGCTGTTTGCTAGTTGCCGGTGTGCATGTGCATGGTAGCGGAGCTGGCCGGGGGTTCATTAAAGATACCTGGGAAGGAAAATGCCAGAGGACCAAGACCATGTGCCATGGTGTGACGGTTCACCAAGCACCTTTGCGTCCTACTGTATGTGATGGCTCGCAAATGGTATGCCGAAGGGACGAAGGAGTCAGAACGGAAACTGGTGGTTGCTAGATTATGGTGTTGGTCGACTGGGGCCGCAAAGTCCATAGCGGGGTGTGCTGACCCCGACTCTTTCGATCATGATGACGGACTCCAACAGTGTCTAGCACTGAGGGAATCTCCATTGCAACGATTGCCGGCCCCTGACAGCCAAATGTTTTTGTGCAAACATCAAACTCGACAATCGGTTTTCTTTAGTTTGCCAAGCACTGAGGACAGCGTACGCAGATGAATCGGAGCGTTAGCCAGTTGGACAGATACGCATTTGGTGGCATGAGGGCAACATAGCAACCTCATGGCCTGATGAAGATTTCTCAGAGAGCGTCTGGTGGTTGGTGTGGACCGATAGCAAAGTGATCGGTGCATCGAAGAATAGCGGCTGACTCGGTTGTCCGAAGCTTTTGCCATCGCCAATGAGGCCAACAAAACGGTGAAGGGGGGCGTGCGAAGCAGTCCGAAAGTTTGATTGGCCAGGGGGCACTACGCTCCAGAATCCTTTTCAGGAAAAGGAAAGAGGTTCAAACAGTTCTCATCAACCTTGTGGTGCCAGACATCGATGGACTCAATGGTGGATCAACAGGAATGCCCGTGGCTGACAAGCACGCACCAACAACCTGCACACCGTATCCACGCAACTAACCTTCCAAAAAAGTCTCCTGTCTGAGGTGCTGGTAATGTGGCGTGCAATGATCCAGCCGATGTGGGAAAGGTTCCAAAGGGTGTTTGGCGCACTATGATGATCGCATCGCGTGGACGGGCGCCAGCCAGAGCACTGGAGCCACGAAGAACGCTATTGGAATAGATTCATTGGTGATTAGGTGGTTCCTGGTCAGTTTCTACGCGCGATGTGCAATCCTAGATGCAGCTCTGTGGTATCAAGATGGTCGGTTTTGTTTCATTTGGGACGCAACAAGAAATGCAGACAAGGCGTTCAATGGAGACCGGCAGATGGCAGATCCCTTAACTGAACTAAGAATGGAGCGGCCAAGATGAAGATGATGATGATGATGATGATGATGATGATGCAGTTTCTGGCGGATGGACAGTGGCGGGCCTTGGTGCATGATCCGGTGTTTGTCGGCAAGGAACCTGAAGAAGCGCCAGCTCCAAGTGGACATGAAGAAGCAGTTTGTTGAAGAGGTTCACACCTTGGCGGTGAAACACCGCTGGCCTTGGCCAGCGCAGCAGGCATGATTTGAGAAGTGTGGGGGATGAGTTTATCGAAGACACATGGTTGAGCATGTGCCCCGGTGTTCCCAGCCGCTGTAGCTTGGGAGGGCTCGAAGCTTCGCGGACCGTGGAGGTAGAAAGAAGCGCAGGAGGTGTGCTGTTTGCTAGTTTTGCGGATGGGTGGCAATTTCTGCTGTGCACTAACACAACCTTTGCTTTTAGGCACCCTTAGGGGCCAGAAAAATGGGCTGGCAAAAAGATCACCAGCGCTTGGCTCAAAGAGGTCAGAACCTTCCGTCAGTGGCTAAGGCTGAATGGTGATCCTGCCAAAGGTCCAGTTGTTCCGGTTATGGCCTACATGAAACGTTTGGGAATGCTTGAGGGCCTGGTGCTTGGCATTCAGCCTTGAAGGCGCACCATGTTCTCTCGTACCACAAAAAACTCAGGCCGCGAGTATGTTTCAGCCTTGCTTGAGCTGGAGCTTCATGGCGTGGATGGCAAGTGGCCTGTGAGATACTGTTCCGACATGCTTCTCAGTGGCCACACCTTTGCAACTTGCCTCGCACATGACGCATGTCTTCGATACATTGTTGCAGACATCAGGGTAGGGGCTGTTGATCGCTATTTTTGCCTAGCCTTTGGCTGAAGTTTCTCAAAGTGAGAGGCCGTGCTGCTGTACTCTTTGGCAGTGGCGGATTTGGTGAGGCGTGCCACGGTTCTATTGCCCGAAGGCAGTTTTTACAGAGCTCAAGCTGCAAGTTGTGCAAGAAGCACAAGAGTGCACAACAAGACAAAAACCATTCCATGGCCTTCTGAGGACATGTTTTCCGATATTTGATTGGACCCTTGGCGTACTTGCCAAAAACCTTGAACCTTGAGAAACTATCAATCTTTTCAAAGCTGCTTTAGAACTGTACTGTACATGTTCGGGAGTTGGCTGTAGGAACTTTTGTGCACTCGGCTTCTGAGGCTTTTGGGTCGCGCTCATCACGATCGCAGATATGTACTACATTGTGTTAAAGCATTTCCACTACACTGTCGATGTTGTCATGTCCGTTGTCATTACCTTCCTCCTCTACACAAATGCAGGAGCTTTGGCAAGCTTAGAATTAACGTGATCCTGCACCAAGTCTGAGGTGTCTAAAACTTGGAAGATTGCCACTCACACAGCTCAGAACTCTTCTTTCAAAACAATGGTACACTTGGAAGATTGTGGTTCTGAGTTTCAAAACCTCTCAAGCCGACGATCCCGCCAGTTTCATCCAGGGCTGTGTGGTGTCCGAGGAATGGCGATACTCACCCAATGGTTTGTGTCGGGCGAAAGGCCAGACAGGAGCCACAGCACAACCTCTTCATTCTTGGTGGAAAGTTGGTGTGTGCGTGTGGGTGGGACAGTCAATATCGGCAGGACTGAGGAGCTTGACGACGCTGGAGAAATTTGGATACCACGTGCCATGATTCCGTGCTGCTGCTTTAACGGGTACTACACCATCAAATGGTGACTCAACCGACTTTAATCAGTTTTCAGCCATTTGGCACACGTGCTGACTATCATGCGTGGTATAAATTCCTTGGACAAAAGATTGAGAGAATGTGAGATATCAGTGATGCCTCAATTGGAGAACTCGTAGTACGACGATACAGAGTCAAAGCAACGTTCTTGATCATATGCATTGTACATACCAACAACGATACCATAAGCAATAGCACCCTTGGCGGCTGAAGCTTTTCCATGCAATCCTAGGGTCATGAGTTTTCTTTGCGAAGGCCACAACCACTGCGGCTTGCCAATGCACAAACTGATACACATACATGCAGAACTTGCCAGCGCCAGTGAACAGTATATAAAAAGGTAAGTTTTTTGTGCTTTGTACTCAATCTTTTTCCACCACTCTGGGTGGGAAGGAGGGAGGGAGGGAGGGAGGAAGGAGGGAGGGATGGAGGGAGACATTCTGCACCCCGCCGCATTTTTCTGACAACAAAACAATATGGCAGCATCATGTTTGCATTGATAGTCCCAAAAGGAAATACAGTAAGCAAGAGCAAGGAAAGTGGCATGGAAACATATAGCGGTGTTTTATGGTAGTTTATCCAACCTCACTTGCCAAAGATGGCGTTTCTGCTTTTGTTCGATTAGTGCAGCAAGTCTAGCCAGGTGTCTTGCCTGGGGTGAAAGGTGCAGTGGGTGTGACATTCCACCCACTTCGCTGAACACATATTTTTGTATACAGCAGGCGGTACAAGGAACTCGATGGACCCATATGAGCATCGAAGAGCAAGGGCTCCACTTCCCAGTTTGTTTTGATGTGAGAATCACAAAGTGTCACAGCAAAGCTGTACCATACAGACAACTACGACACCATGAACATCAAGCCGTGCTGCAACTGGTGGAACAAGTCGTTTTGCCATGAACGGCATTTTAGGCTGGAAGACAAAGAAGTGAAGCTACGACAGGCAGCGGGTAAGAAGAACCTGATATTTCCGCTTTGCACTTTCAACACTGGATGACTGGATGTAGAGACTATTGTACTTGATACTGTGGCATTACTGTATATGCTGCTGTGTTTGTGTACTTGCCATCCTTGTTGTTGCATCAGCCAGGACAGAAACAAAAGTGCCTTGTGGGAAAGATTAACAAAATTTAGCGAATCCTTGGTGCCAGAGCAGCAGTCCACGAATGCGGAGGCAGGGTCATTGGACATGGTGATGAAGGTTCTTTTTGTAGATATATATATATATACACATGCATGTTCAATCTCCATGCATCCTCGATCCTTTTGCATCAACGTGAGTTAGGAATAAGACGTGGAGTTTTCAGCCAGGGCTAGTAAGGGAACCGTCTCTCTGAATAAGGATTCCAGTTGCAAGCAACGCAAGCAAGCATTCTGTTGTGCCGTTGTGTGATGTGCGAATTCAACACGTTCTTGTTCTTGATGTTGGTATTCCGATATTCCTTTTTGGCATGAAGGTGTCGCAAGGGATTCAGAATCAGAACTGCTCAAACTTCATGTTTTGCAGGGCCTGTCCCCACCAGAAAGGACAGGTTGCCAACAATCTTTCGTATCCAAGTGAAAGCCACTCACAGGCAAGACCTGACCACTCGAAGGGTGACGACTGGGTGGCAGTGGCTATGCCAAACCAGCAAACAAGTGCTTGTTCAGCTTCCACGCAGCGACGACGACGCCCTTCTCCGCCCTGCGCCGACTCCGAGTTCCGACTCCGACCCTGTTCCTAGTAGCGTCCTAGTAGCGTCCTTGTTCCTAGTAGCGATGCCAGGAGCCCCTAGTAGCGTCCGTGCTAGTCATACGAACTGAGTTTAGGGTTTCGGTTTTTAGGCCCAGAACCCACGCCGTTTGGGCCGAAACACACGCCCTCCACGAATTCGAGACCCAGAGCTGAACAATTAATTCCCGGAGCCGCCAACATCCAACCTCTACCGTTCCGGTTGATGGTTGTGTCATTATTCTGGCGCAACTGTGACAGCTGGCACCATCATCCATCACGTAACCCCGCCTGACTCCGTGGCTGTCGGATTTGCCGACTTTAACTTCAACTCGATCAAACAGACATTCTCACGGATTCTCACGAGCGAATCATCCTTGTTACCTGATTGTGCCCCTGATTGTGATCCGGTTGTTCGTTCTTCCCATATCTTGTGGCAGGAACAGCGGGGACCGAACTTTGGGACCTTCTCGGATGCGAAGGACGAAGAATCTCGTGGCTGAAGGCCGGAAGCTTCGACGTGTGTGGGCAACTTCAGCGGTGCTATGACGACAGTTGCACGAATAGGAATGAGACAGTTGGGCATGTTATTGTCCAGCTGCATTTCTTAGGAATGCATTGTGTCTTTGTGTTCATAAGCAGATGAGGGGTGCCGCCGCCCTCCAGGCCGAAGGCGACCCAGTTGCGTCAGCAAAAAGTGATTGTGGAATCACCGGAAGACGGTAGACCGAAGGCCCAACAAGGAGTTCTTTAAACATCGACGCCGATTCACATCAATGAACAGCTGCACAGAGTTGGGACTTGGCAGCTGTTATTCACATCAGTGGCACCTTGTAGGGGTTTATGGTCGTTGAGACACTGTGTTCTTGATTATTAAACTGCCAAACAATGACTTCGGAATGCTGATCACCTGAAGCTCAAGGGAAGCCAAAGCAGGAACTTTCAACATAATGATTTTAATTGTATTGTAAGCGTCTCAGACTTTGGTTGAAACTGTCGTCGTTACTTTTTTTTGCGTTTGTATTCCCATCGTGGCTACGGCGCCCAATGGTGGGTATGGTGCCCAGCATTTTTTGTCCTCATTGCTACGTGGTTGATCCCAGCCTCAGCTGTTGGTGGCCTCGGTGCCACAGAGGCGGGAAGGCTTTGCGACACAGCTTGGACAAGCAAAGCTCTCTTGTTATGAGTACAGGATGAGGAGGTCCTGCACCAGATGAGTAGGATTGAGTAGGGATACACACAGCAATTTTCTTGATCCTTGTTGATCACTGATCACGCAAATTGTTCAATGTTGACGGCATCACGTTCGGGTTTGGAAGTGCGGTCTTCCCGGACAATGCTGTCCTGTCCCTGAGGCCGCCACCCAGGAGACAGACAATCTCATCACGCCCTTGAAATTACTGGCCTGGCAGAAGGTGACATCTCCAACTCGTCTAAAGCCGAAGAAGTCCCATTTTCCTAGCATCAAAGTCAACGGGTGTGGTTGTCTTGGAGTCTTGCAGTTGTTCTTTTGGGAATCACCGAATCACCGACTCTTCCTTGAAAGACGTCCTCTCGCCAGGCGCGAGAGGCTGGCTTTGACCGCGAGTTCAGTTCCTTCAAAGCGGTCTCAGCGAGAAGCCAATTGGTTGCGGGACGGAACCACTTTGTGAAGGCCGAAAGTGGCGTCTTCAGACGTCACCACCTTCTCAGAGGGTCAGAGCGTGTCAGGGTCAGTCAGACCACTGTGTGAATGTGGCAGAAAACAGCACCGATGTCGTTTCCGCTTGTGTCAGGTGTCAGTAGGGTCCACCACCTACATTCACTTGCGCATTTTTGAGCCCCAGCCCCATTCTGGACGAGCACCACAGCTCGTTGCTTTGGAGTTTCCTGGGTCTGCATATTAAGAAGAAGAAATTGCTTTGGTGGCAGAGTCTCCAAGTGGACTCTGCATCATCTGAGGTTGAATCACACTCTGGAAAGTGAGATAGAGTATTTTCCCAGGCCCAAAAGGGAGGAGCTTTGATATGGCCGTGGCCTGTGTTGGCCCAGCCACGTTTGAACACATGCCCAGCCCGGGGGTGGATCGCCACCCTTCTGGGATGTAAAACCTTCCCAAACCTGGATTATTGTGGCCGATGGCGTTGAATTGTTGTTTGCACACATTGTAGTCCAAGTATTCAACACATGACTGAAAGAGCAGCTAAGCAGCAACAAAAGCAGGTTGCTGTCAGCTTGTTTCACGCGACATTCGGAAGTGCCAGCACAAAACGTTCCATGCGGCTTTGGCCTTTTGACTTCGTCCCACCAAAGAAACGCCCCTATGAACGGCCTTTCGTTCTGGCAACAGACAAGTATCAGGCAACAGACGCTTAGTTTCCCCAAATTCTAGGAACCAAATCATTAGTGCGAGCGCTTCTTCAAGGAAGCTCCCCCCCAGCCCTCAGGCGGGGAGCTTGCTTGAAGAAGCGTAGCAATCCTGCGTCCTAGCTAGTAGTTTACTAATCCCTTACTTAATTAAGTAGGCACCTACCTAATTAAGTAAAGGCGGGCTTTAAAGAAAAACCTTTCCTCCTACTTCTGGGACTTGGAATGATTCGATGTGTTGGCAAAATTAGATTACTATTGGTGCTACAAACACGGTGCTGCCATGAGCAGCGCTCACAGGTGGGGGCAGGCTTCAACAATACATCTATATTATATACTGTAGTCACAATATAGTCCCGAACTTGAACTCCACTTGTTAAGCAATTCTTGGCTACGAGAAGCACCAGTGATCACCAGTGCGCTTTTTCCACCGAACAACTGCGCTCGTTCACTACCTGGGTAGACCAGCAGAGTGGTCTTCTGCATATGGAAGCAAACAACTGACGCAAGAGCCCAAAGTCATGAGCTTATTTGCACCATTACAATGAAACTAGGCACAGCATAGTGAGACGGCTGGGTGAAATTTCTTTGTCAGCCCATAGGGCTGCATGGTCTTCTTGTGCATGTAATGCAGAAGATTTATGATGGTAAATGCATAGAACAAGGTGGAGGTTTATCTGTGAGCAACGTAGATGCCTCTTTGGATACTGCATGACTGTGAAGATTGATGTATTGGGGGTGTGGCAACTTGTGATTGTGATTTTGCTAGAATCTAGAGTCCGCGTGAACAATCTTCATTGTTCTTGCCAACTGGAAGCAGCTGAACTCCTACCAAACCTATATATATATATTACTGTAAGCCACATGGACAATCTTCCAGCTGCAAGCACCACGAAGAGTTCCAACGCCAAATTCAGAAAGAAGCTTTGCCGATGCTCTCTGATGAACAGATGAACAGGTGCTGAAGAGATTTTTGAGAAAGTTATGGAGCGCGTTCGTGCGGGTGCCTAGGAGACCCCAGGAGTATGCATTTGTCGAGCTGTTGGGTGTGTTCTGTACTTGCTTTGACATTTGCTCGGGAGATGCTACGTGAGATTGCCCACTTGTTGACTTGCAAACAAAGAGCCTCAATTAGCTGAACGCAGATTGTGGTGGGTGCTCGAGCAAACATTCCAAGGCCAGTCGGTCAAGCTCTCCGAGGAGTGGGACATTGCAGAGGCGCTGAAAGTTTGCAGAGAACTTTACACTCGACTTCATTTGCCACACTCAGGCTTGAACATACATATACTGTGTATATATATATATACATTATGTAAAAACACAATTTGTTCTAACCTGCTTCGCAGCATTTTTCAGACAATGACATCGACGGGTGCTGTACAAGTGTCACTAGCTCTTCCTGACAAGCTGGTCGAACTATGGGTTCGTGAACCATAATCTGCCGATGCATAAGCATGCCGACCAAAAGAATGATGTCTCTCTCACTCCTGAGATTCATACTTGGATTAAGCAAGAAGTGAATTCAGCGGACATGGTCAACAGACTACTTGCTGCTTACTTTTGACATTTGTGGCTTCCCTTTCCATAAACCTTCGCGGCTTTTGCAACATGCGGACCATTCTCGGGCTCTTGTGCCATGTGATGGACTGTACCTCAGTGACGCAGCCTTCGACTTCGTAAGTCACGCCAAAAAGAGGGCCGAAGAGCTGATCTCATCAGCTTAAGACCCTTGTGAGACCATGGACCGTAGAGATCGTGGTTTTTCTGATACAAAGCTTCACCTCGATTTCCAAGGCCATCGCGGACACGATGCCCTGCAGCTTCAATGTGCCGTATTTTGAATGCAGAGAAGCCATGTTGTGAGGATCAACTAGAACCATGTAGAACGTGAAGAAGTTGAACCAGCAGTGTGATGTAGAACGTTGCCGGTGCCAACGTGAGGTTCCGGGACTGGGCCATTGCCAGTGATCAGTGTAAGCCAGGCAGGTTTGGGAGATGTAGGTGCGAAGTCATTCATATCTCGTTTTTCAATTCAACAAGCGGACAGAGTTGGCAGTCAGCGGACTGCTGTTGACAAATCCATCAGATTCATTGTGCCACAAACCACAGGTGAGATGCTGACGTGTTGCACTGATGCAGACTGTGCAGCTTTGCCAAAGAACTGTTGCCCTCACTATGGGCCTGGGCCTTCACCAGGTGAGGGCTTGCAACGCATCAATTTAGGCATGTTTCACGCAAAAGACACTGGACACGGTCGTCCATTTTGACATCCTTTCTCTCCGTTCTCTCTCCTGTTTGTCACCGTGTGGTGTTTGATTGCACACCTCGCACGAGGCTGTGGCTGGCTGCATTGCCTGGAAACAGGACGTGATAGCTTTCAGCTTAATTTTTCTCTGTGAAGTATGCAGACAATTACAAGTCAACAGAGATTCTTGTGCTTCTACCATTTCCAAGACTTGACGTAGATAGGCAGGGAACAATTTGAACAGATGGTTGTGCCCTTGTGACGTTCATGATTCACATAAAGAACGGATACTGAGATGGTTCAGGAGCACCTTTCGCTACTGGCAAGGTTTGTGGCTTACACCGCCTTTCCCCAGCAGGTGCATCGACGCCCACAGGCTGGGAGCGGAGCGGAGCTGGAAGATGCTTCTGAGCGGAGCTGCAGCTGAGGTACCTGCAAACGCGATGGCTCCCTGTGTGGAGTTGAACTGGCCACGGGCAATGTGGGTTGCTTCAGCAACAGCACCTGTATCTTGGCGAGACAGCTGCGCACGGCACGCTTTGCAGAAACACATCATTTGGCCTCGAGACCTTGGAGCAGGATAGCAGGCTTGCATTGCAAAAGAGTGATAGGTGGGCTAGGTCCGGCTAGGTCTAGGTGCCCGTTTTTGTTTGGAAAGCGATGGCACGGAGTGGTATGCACCCAGCGCTCTTAGGCAATAATCCTTCGGCCATGGCGCCCAAATTAGCCTGCCTGGCAGCCCAACCGATTCCAACAGCGAGTCCACCTTTGATTGTGATATCAACATTGAACAGTGATTTTTTGACTTTCAAGCTTTCCCAGGTTTGTGACTGCAAGTCTCCACAGTCTAAAGTCATTGAACATGTACATAAAGGCTCATCAATATTTGCTCCAAGGTTTTCCAGACGGGCATGCGGCTGAAAATGCCACGGAGAATGAGCAGTTGGTTGTGTGAAGACTAGCTGCGAACATGAGCCTTTCAAGCTCCCAAGTTGGCGCAGCAGCACGAAGTGCTTGAGCGGCAGCAGTGTTGATTGAACATTGGCTGATGTGCACATCGTGGTTGAAATGAATGGCCATGGCCTTGTGAATGTTTTGTCAGCGGTGTCTCAAGGGCGTTTATGCTTTGCGTGCCAAAAGCTGACCAAGTATGCATACTGACAGAAGATAGCCCCTTTGGTATGCACAGCAATGCACAGACACTTTTCTGTTGCAGGCACACAGATCCCAAATAGGTCCAGGAGAGGCCTTTGGTGCGTGGCTCCTCAGCTTGCCGCACTTGGCTGAAGTCTCGTCTCAGATTAGACACCAAGCCAAGTGCTCATTTGGCAACTAGACTGCTGCAGACTGCTTTACGGGTACGTAGCTCACACCGTGACGGGACGTGAACGTTGACCTTTCGGAGTTCAAATCGCTGCGGTCTGAACGAATGAATGCTCCGCTTAGGCCTGGACGAGCAAGCCGCGGATCCGCGATCGCTGGAATACGCTGGCGAGAACAACTGCATGTTGGGCCATGTGAAAGGAAAACTAACGAGGGAGAGAGAGAGAGAGAGAGAGCAACAAAAAGAATTGGGCTCAGAAAACCAGCACACCAGCACACCCTTTTAATCTCACGCCAGCACCACGGCCTCAAAGAATCGAAGCATCAGCTGCGCTGTGTGTCTGGACTCGCGCAGCTCCGTCTGGTGGCGAAGCGGCGACACATGCCCGACGTTTTCGAGGCGGAGAGTCCGTGTTTTGTTCCCTGAAGGGGGCATTCCAAGCAGAAGAGTGGCTGACGCTGTCGAGATGGACCATTGACCTGGTTCTCTGGTTTGAGGTGTGTGATGCTAGAAGAGCCTGCTGGGTGCACGCAGAGGGGGCCTAAGAGCTTTGTGTCGTCTTTTGGAACCACTTTGATTCTACTTCGCTTTGCAGCTCCTAGTCCTCACAGGATCACAGCACCACGGAATTCATTGCTCGAGCAGCTGCCAGGGCCCTTGTACAAATAGGATCTAGGAATATGAGGAAAGACGTGATGTACGAGTACTTGGGCACTCTTCGATTTGCTTAGAAAGTGCTCCACAAGACCTTTGAGACCTGGCGTTGTGTTTCCATGGAACTCAACTCCATGCAATGCCACTACGGCTCGATCATATTTTCAATTCTAGTAGACAACCAGTCAGTTAATGCTGAGGTTGCTACTGTGAATATGACTGGGTTGGTTGATTCGCCACAGCCTCACACTCTTGGACTGTTCAACATGGGTGCAATGTTGCGTGACTCACTCACTTAAATGGGTCTTAGGTTTATGCTTTGCTGTCCTGCTTGTTAAAAGCACGCACACTATGGATGGAGGTGTATGTACAGTGAATGCGGTAACTCGCCGATCGAGTTGAATGGGGGCGTGAGCACAGAATGCAGCGGGGTGTAGCCTATCAGTCAAGGGCCATCCAAATCGAGAAGTTCCAAGACGAGACAGGTCAATCTAGTGCAGAGCGTGGTTACCAAACACGAGCAGGTACGTCAGGGTGATCAGCAGTGGTATCCGCATGTGCGGCCGCTTCGTTGGAGGATCTTGCGCCGTACATGGAGAGCCTTTTTGCAGAAGCTAGAAACAATCTGAATGGCAGCAAAGTGAGTGCTGAGGCATGCCGAGGCACCTGTGAGTCCAAGGTTTCCACATACACACACATACGCACGAGAAAAGAACAATAGTACTGCAATGCATTGAAAGAGGTGGTACTCTAGGGCCGGGCCTATGGTGCTGTTCCACGGCGTGACTCACGACAAGGTATGTCCTAGTATGTCCCTCCAAGTTAGACAGTTTTCTCAAGTAAAGTAGAATCGTCCAGAAGATAAAGAAAACCGGTTTGTTTACAAGGATGGCCAATGGCCCTTTGCTTTGTCGGCAGTGCCATTTTGCATGAACAGTCATTGATATACGGAGGTTCGACGAGACTGGAGGAATCGTCATAGGGTTTCATGGCCTCTTGCTTCGTAGTTGATAATCTTTGTTGCCTGGGTGTTCACACACAGAGACTACTTGCCAAGATCAACTCTCAGAATGTTGCAGCAAACTGTTTGATGGATTATTGTTGTCCGAGGGAAAGCTGGAGATGGACTCATTGTTCTGAGGTTTCATGCTATGCCTGCGCCACGATTTCCAGAGGTGGTATTCTTGGGCTGGTTGGAAGCCGAATGAGCCGAATGGGCAAGGCGTTTTCATATTGCTGAACGACAGACATGCGGACATGCAAAAACTCCCGGTTTACAAGGTCGAACGTGGGCAAAAGCTCCTTGATCAACGCCTTGTTGCATCGTACAGCCAAGATCTCAGAATATTTTTCAAAGCCACTCGTGTGGGACAAAACCGCATTTCTTGTGAATTGTGGTCGCAAAAAAAAACAATCTATTTGGCTCAGATCCTTTAAGTTTCGAAATACAATCTCAGATCCTTCGCTCAGGCTGTCGCACCCGTCTCCAACATGCCAGGTAAGACGTGTGGGCCCCAAGATGTGACAGACTCGCAAGGAAATGTAGAAAGGACGGTGATGAAGGTGTACTGTATTTCGGTAGTTCTGTGAGGACTCAATTCCATTTTTACTCGATCAATGAGAAGAATGCAGCTTTTCCGCAGATGACTCTCGTGGACGTCCCTTCCTTGGTTTTTTTTTGCTGCTGAGATCTACAGTACTTTTCATTTACAATTCTCTCATAGTTCGCTGCCGATGGCGATTGGTGCGTCAGTGGCTTCCTTCTTCTTATGCTTGCTTATGCAGATGTTTGACAATTTCATGGGAGTTCTTAGAGAGTTTATGTCAGACATTGGCAGCGGGAAGGTGGTTGTTGAATCCTTAAATCACGTATCTTCACCACAGGAAGGTTCCACTTTTGGATTCAGGTGCCAGGCTTGGGTGAGGCGATGGCAGACGAGGCGCAAACCAGGTGTGAGTCCCGGCGGTCGAAGTTCTTTTCTGCACTGGGACTGCCAGCGAACGAGGGGCATTGCCCATGTCATGTTGAAGTACTCTGTGGCATTGTCTACTACAGCTCAGCAAAGACTTTTATTGCATAAATATGATCATGTGGGGAGGGGAGTACAGCAAAAACCATGCACATTTCCTCGTCTCCAGACTTTCATTCCCGTGAAATCGTTTTGAACAATTTTCGGCTTGGTCCATGATATGATGATTATGGATGTCCCTCGCTCCCTTTGAAACATTTCCTTGAACAAGTTTGCTTCCTGAGGGGTTTCCCCTCCCTTGCTTTCATACATTTATATATGAGGGAAATCAAGCTTCCTGAGAATTGCGGAGAAATGGCAATGATAGGTCGTGATTCAAAGACATATGCGGTGAGAAGTTTTCCATAGTTTCCGCATGTTGCCAAACATTTTTTCAACCCCATGGCCTCATACAGTTTGCACTAGCGCCGCTGGAGTTTGCTCGGAGAGGCGCATTAATTGCATTTTCACCCCCCCCAGCTACACAAACCAATCAGGGCTATGTGTGTTCTCCCAGAAGCTTGGCTGATGACACGATTATAATATGATGTGATCTCCCTGGCTTGCATACATTAACAGGATAAAAGGTGCTTCCTGGGCTTGGGGTCGTTACCCACCGGCTTGCATAGATTTTAAAGTCTATATATTTTTAAGAACAATTCGGAAGTTATTGGGGGGGCCATCTCCCCCATCCCAGATATACATCACTGTGGAGCCATCCTTTTTCAGAAGTTTGTTTTCATGGTTTGTTTAGCAGTTTAGCATCAATAAGGGAGAGCATGGGAGAGCCTGCAAAGGGTTTTGCTGTGGAATTGTATGCGGCACGGGGGTGCCCAGGGAGCTGTTCGAGTCAAACAAAAGAAGCCACTAAACTCCAAGGTCCCAGTTCCCCAACACAAGACCTTGTAACATTGTAGCCACCCAACAGCATTTTCCTAACTTTGTGCCATGATTGTGTCATTGCAGCATTGTCGTGTGTTTCATACATGTTGTGATATAGTAAGCATTCATTCTACTTGTTGGGAGTCTTTGGTGAGGCACTGGAGGAGCACTCTGGACTTGTGCCCATTAAACTGCAGAGTGGCAGAGTGATAGTCCTTTCGGATTCTGCCGCTACCCAACAGCGCCAGCAAGTTTATTTTGCTGCCACTAGCTTCACTAGCTACCATGCTGACTATGCCTTGAGTGGTGCACTAGGGTTCCAGGGTCAGAACCGAAAGACGCCTGTAACGAAGCAATGTCAACTGTTCAGGTACCTGAAAAGACGAGGCAACATGCTGCGGCAGGTCTTTCACCTCATCAGCTGTGAGGCTCATCGGTCCGCTTGGCCGGCTGACTCCGGTTGAACGGACAAAACACACCAGTGCATGCGCGAGTGTGACATTAAGTTACTAGAAACAAGAAGCCACTAGGGGCTGCTGGCATCGCTACTAGGAGCAAGGACGCCACTAGGGGCTCCTGGCATCGCTTCTAGTAGCAAGAAGCTACTAGGTGGAAGCTACTATTAGGTTGGAGGCCATTGCCTCCAGCATCGTTCAGCGATTCTAGTCAGGCCAGAGACTCTCTCTGCCAGTCTGCCAGAGATGCGGAATGTTCGTTTTTGCTGCAAAAGCAACCGAAGCAATTTGATGCTTTGTTCGGTTGAAACAGATTACCTGGTCACAGAGAAGTGAAGGCTGTCCACGTTGAGCCATGAGTTTCCGCTGGATGAACCCCCCCGACATCAGTTCAAAGATTGGATTTGTTCATCTCCCCGTGGCAGCAGGTTTTGCTGCGCCGCAAGCGGCCGTCTCTTCTTGATATGGCGGTGATGGCCACTTGGTTGCGGTTTAATCAACCATGTGAAGATTGCAAATATATAAAGGCATCAACATCCTCTGCGCCAAGCAAATCGGTTCTGAGCGTCCAAGTCTTCTAGGAGATGTGCCTCCGACACCGACGCGACAGTGAATATACAATAGCCTGAAGCTTGAGACGTGTGTGATTGATTGAGGTCTAGTTCGTCCAGTTCCATGTTCAACTTGTCCTGGTACAATGTTGCAACTTGTTTTGGTTGAGAAACCCCCTCAGTCCAGCTCAACGACCAAGCACTTTGAGCTCAGCAGGGACGCTTGACAATTCTTCCATTTCTGCACATGATCAGTTCTTAAGGTGATCACAAAGGTTGATCTTATCAAAAGTGAAGAAGCAATGGAGAAGCACTGGCATATGTTTCTTCATTGGGATGATCCTAGGTTCGGTCCAACGCCATGCCAGGACTGTTTTCCAAACCATGCGACGTATCTCAGCAAGAATGTCAGAAAAACTCGGCATTCGCCGCGTCAAGGCGAGTCGGGGTCTGGGCTCTCATGCTTTGGGCTCGTGTGATGAGAGTTGCTGAAATGCTGTTGCTGCAACTGTTCGTTGCGACATGCGAGGCGTTTTGACCGATCATCCCATTGGGAATATTTTATGTATGAAGCAATTCGGGACTGGGGAAACTCGGGGACCCTGGGCGTTCTTGAATGGTCGCACAGATCATTCCTTGCAGCGTGAAGCGCATCCGCGGCCGCATTCTTCTTTGGCGGAGACTTTGGAGGTGCTCTTGGCGTCGCGTTTGCGATTTCTTTGGTTTGATTGGGGCGCTTTGGTTCTGGGAATATACAGATCAAGTCAGTCCACATGTGGGCTAAAGGCTCACAACAGAAGCTGCCAACACCATCCCAACCTGCCAGCATTGATAGCGCCAGTCCACCATTTGCCAGTTTGCTAGGCCCTTTTCCCCAGTTTTCTGAACAAAGGCTCATGATCTCAGTGACTTGCCAGGCTGCTTTGCTCCACTCCAAAATTCTCCGTGACATTTCCTATCGATGATGCAATGATCTATTTTTCCAAACCAGACCTGTCCCACTGAACAACCATGTCTTTCAGGTCGGTGGACCCTGAGCTCACCTTGAAGGTCCGTCCAGCCAAAGAGCTGAAAGAGGTGCAGAAGGACTGCTACGACTGGAAGGTTAGGCTGTTGTTGTTTGTTCTGTTTTTCCCAGAACAGCTATCATGTGTTCCATGCTTTCTCGGTTCAAGCTTTTGCCACGGCTCCAGTTGATGAGCCTAGTGCATTCGCCCGCTCAGAGCAGACTCATTGCGGCTACTGTTGCTTCCTTCTTCAGGGAGCCTGCTGGGCTTTTCTTACCCTGAATTTTACGAAGAGGTCGTGGTGCACTGGCCATCTTTGGTGGCGGGGTGCTCATTCGCTTCATCGCTGGCCAGGTGCTTGAGCGGCTTTGTTGAAGAGAGCTCGCTCCTGGCCATCTCGTCCGCGGCGTAGACCAAATGCCAGACTATATATAGATAGAGCTGGTGAGCCCCTTCAAGAGCAGCTACGGATGTATACTGGAGCTAAGGTGCGCTCCTGCAACATCACCCCGACCCGGCAACTCCTTCCTCTGGAGCTACGTGGTCGCGAGGGCTTTGAGAAGGGCGCGATGGCGGCAATGGAGGTGGGTGAGAGCTCGTGGTCGGAAGTTGCAGGAATGAGACTGCGAGGGGGCCTGTTCATCGGGCAGCTTTGGTGACAACTTGGATGCTACGCGAAGTGGAGCTGGCAGCCATTCGCAAGAGGACATTGTGATCCACGAGAAAGAAAAAATTGGGGCACTGAACCTGAGATCTTCGAAGGGCAATCAGGAGTTGCGCAAAAATGCGGGTGGTGACAAGAAGCAGCGCGGACTTGGACATGCAAGCGAGATAGAGTTTGTTGGGGTGCGCAAATCACGTGACGGAAGTCCTGGAGGGCGCGAAGGACATGGAGACGCTCAAAGCAACCGAACTGAAGCTGCGAGCAACCTGACGGTTGCCCAGGAAAAGCTGGATGATTCTATCCAGAGGTGGGAAGAAGAGATCTCGCTTCAGCACCATGGCTTTCTTCCTTCACATGGTCGCGAGTTGGCGTGGTGCACTGGCATACCCGATCTGGGTGATCTGCGAGGGTGGTGCGTGAAGCAACCTGACACCAAGGTCACAAAAGTGGGAGCGTGAGTGCAACGGTTGTCTTGAAAGAAAACGACGTTTATTGCTAGACAAGGCAGGAAGCACCGTGGGAGAGATAATGGTGGCTATAAGCGACTGGATTTCCGAATGGCTGGTTAGTGGTTCAGGCACTCACATAATTATTGGAGTCTTTTTAGAAGGTGTTTTCGCAGCCATGTCATTGTTTCGGATCAAGCCTCACCCCCTTCCATCCCACTGTCGGAGAGTTCATTCTGTTTGGCGCATTGGGTGCGACCGTGTGTGAAAAAGCAAATCGAGATGAAAGGCCCTTTCAGCCCCACTTCGTTTGATGAGAATTTTACATCAAAAATTAACCAGAGCTGAAGCTGAAGGAGCTGGATGCCATGGTCGAGCAGGGCAAGATCGAAGACCTATCTGCCTTGGCGGAACAAGAACAACCAGTCCGTGAAGAGTCGTTGAACGGTTTGCCTTTTTCCTACCCACAGCTGATGGCCTGTGATTGGTTAAGTTCAATAGTTTCCGTAGTAGACCTAGATCTCAACTGAACACATATCAGAGAAACTAGTCCAGGGTCAAAAGCGCAACCCAAGTGTGGCAGAGATGAACGTAGAACAAACCCGCTGCATACTTTGTCATTCACATTATTGCGTGTGATTCTATTTCGTAATTTTGGTTTAGTGCTTGAACAAACTTACAAAGTCTCAAACCGCAACGGTTCCAGGAATCCAACTGGGACGTGTGGGATTACGCCATGCGCGGCTTGGTGCAGCTAAAGCAGTTGAGAAAAACATGGCAGCTGCTTCAGCAAGGCCCAGCTGAAGGCGTCCAAGCAGCAAACAGACGCATGTTGAGGGACAGTAAATTATTTAGAGTCCATGGAACTCAGATTTAGGATTTTTTTTTGTGTTTCGGGGGACTTCGCCATCAACTACAGACCTAGATTTTTTTTTGTTGAAACATTTGAAACTGTAGGACTTGTAGGTCGTAAGCATCCTGACATCAATAGGCTGAGCCGCTGACCAAGCTGTGCTTGAGTTTGAGATTCAAGAAATAGCTCGAACAAGTTATACACATGGCGGAAGTTTGAGATTAGAGGAAGAGAGACATTTTCGGAAAGAAAGGGGGCAGACAAGATAAACGAGACCGCCGTTTGAAAGGCACAACTGGAAGGTAGTAGGACAGGCATAGCACCACCACCCAATATGGTTTTTCATGACATTTTGCGGCCAAAATCATTTCCTTGTTCTTCTTTTTGTCTCTTCTCTCCCTTTGTTTCTCCCTCTGTCTCTGTCCCCCCCCTCGCGCACGCGCGAAAGCGTGCGCGCTCTCTCTCTCTCTCTTTCTCTTTTTCCATAGCTTTTGTTGTGTGTGACGGCAGAGCTTGGTGCAGTTGCTTTTCCTTCCGTTGCAGGTTTTGTACGAGACAACCAGGACAACCAAGTACTTTTGATGTGCTTGAAACATATTCTATTGTGCTCTAAACTTGAAACTCTACATTCTATCTTCCGTGGAAATGGACCTTTCAGAACTGCAAGAAGAGGCGGCATAGGGACATGGTGCTGCAAAGGAGGATGATGAGGATTTGATGGAAGATCTTGAGGAAGACTTGATGGAGGCTTTCTCTTCATTTACTGTAATTTTTCAGTGTTTCGGAGTTGTTTCTTGAAGCAACACTGAAGCTCGGCTCTCAGGAAGCTGAGCTGCAAGTGAAGGCCGCAACTGCGCCGGACTCGCACATGGCCATTCCAACTCAGTGATTCGTGGACGTAGGATGATGGCGAAGCCTCTTCATCAACTCAGCCAGCTGATGATGTAGTGGAAGAGGCTCAAGAAGATGAGGAGCCGCAGTGAACCTTTGCTTCATGAGTCCAGGAACTATTCAGAGATTCACACACGTGCTTTTCCAGGATCCTGAAACCAACTGCAGAGTTCAGAGTCTAAAGAGAAACATCAGGTGAGCTCCAACACCGGACCCAGATTTTTGTGAGGACCTGGACTTATTCCAGGATGTCATCGAGGAAACTGGGCGACTCTCAGCTATGCAGGACACACCAGTCACAAGGGAGGTGGCAGGGGCAGGGGCAGGGGGAATAAGCCGGACAGAACAAGTGTTGCTAGCGATTTCCAGTTTCATGTGACCTTCACAGTCCTCATCGTCCATGTAGGAGCGCGTAGCAGTGGTACTGGGTGAGGCGGCCCTTGCAAGAGAGGAGACACTAAGCTGCAGAAAATGAGGCCCAGAAGAATATTACCGGACAGGACAAAGGCGCTGCCCTCAATGACGGTTTCCTTTAGCACTGTCTTTGCCGAGGTCAGCAGAGCCGCTGGACGCACCTTTGGCAGAGTTGATCATAGAGAGGCTGCAAAGTGAGCAGTCTGCTGCGGTTGCAGAGCTCCTGCCGTGAGCTTAGAGTTGCTCACTTGAAGACCTCCCTGCTGGGAGCCGACCCATCAAGAAGCTTCACAAGGAGCACAAAGCCTTTCAACATTTCAACTGGCTACTGTGTGAAGTGTGACTAGGGTTGAACTTCCAAGAACGGTCTTAGCCATGGGTTGTGCTGAGTCGAGTATTTCTCTTGCATACTTATCCCAACGTTTGAACGATTGCACAGCTATCGGCTTTTCATAGCTGCAAGTGCAACCCCTCATTGTCCTGAACTTGCCGCAACAAGCAGTTTTACTTTTGCGTGGTCCCAAGTCCAAAGGAAGAGACAGATGTCGGGCGAACATGTTGAACGAAGATTTGCAGCTGGGCGGAGAATGCAGTTCACACCAAGGATGGAAAAGGCCGTGTGTATCTCTCGCGGAGAAGATGAGTTGGCCAATGCTTTCTCCAACACGTTTGCGCAGTTGAATGAACTGCTGACGATGGCGAGAGAGGAGCTACACGTCGGAGTCAATAACACTGAGAGTAATATTATTCATAGGATTTGTTAAAGGAATGTCGACTGCAGGATCCCAGGATGACACCCTGGACTGCTGATCGCGAGGTGCTTAGCTGATCTCTTCCGTGAAGAATCGCCAATTCGAGAGATACTTTGGCATACTGAAGCTACTCCAGCTACTCTGCCTTCCAAGCATGGTGAGGCGAGGTTCCTGTCTTCCAAGGTTGGACTCGTCTCATCCTATCCATTGGCAGAGCGAATCAGCTTTGCCTGATAGAGAAGGCCGGAAGCTGAGTCCGACAGAAGCTTGATGTTCATGGTGGTCTTGCTGCTGCTGCTGCTGGTGATGATGACGATGATGATGAGCATTATTATGAGGGCATTCTCTGGATGTCAAGCCGCTCAGGTTTTTGGCTACATGAAGGAATTCCACGTGAGAGGGGACAAGGACGGGATGTCTTTGGGTGTTTTTTAAAGCAGGGCTCTGTCTTTACATGTGCGGGCAAGCCAAGCACTGACTTTATTCAAATCTATTGTATCAGCCATTAAACTTTGTGTACGTCAGTACACAGTTCGGAAGCAGATACATGCGAGAGACAGAGAATGGGACCGGCTTTTTGGTGGATAAGGTTTTGACATTTCACGCTGTGTGAGTGAACTTGAAAGCGGTATGAGGACAGCAAATATAAGCTCCAAGTATCTTCAAGTCATCTATAAGTCGTTAGCCAAAGTTCCGTCAAAACCAACATGAACACCTACTTGTTTAGTTTTGTGGATGTATGGTTTGATCTATGGTTTGCATGGCAATGGAGGAGACAGATGCAGCGGTTGCCCAGCTTGTTTGGAGCTTGGATTTTGATCAACACACTCAATATATGAGCAAACCACAATCAACCACGAAACTTGGGATTGTCTCATGATTTGTACACCAAAAGCGATCATATAAAAAGGCAAGCAATGCCGACTTTTAGGTTTCAGGCCGCCATGGCATGTCACACTCTTTCAAGGTCGTCAAATCACTGGACGTTGCCCAGCAGGTGTGGATGTGAATTGTGAATACTTTTCAAGAAGTCAGCCATCACTCCCTCATACTCCTCTAGGGACATTCACCCTCCTCTAGGGAAGTGGGCAGGTTTGCCTTAGCTGTAGAGACTTGGGCTGGAGGTAAGAGAGTCTGTGGAATGATGCGTTCTGCTGGTGCCCAGTCCGGTGTGTGAAGATCTTGTCGGTTCCTGTGCAGGCACCAAGTTTATCGGGGCCTGCACCTGAGAGGAGGAACCCATGTCTAATTGACTCATCGGTTCTAGCGGCTGGCTAGGGCAAATGCAGCTCTGAAATGCACAAACTCTCCGTCTGTGCACAAGCAGTTGGATTCAGTTGTGTGTACGCTCAATCACAGACTTGCCTGGCCAAGCAAAGAATGGCTTGTGTCTCAAGGTTGACACGACTTGAAGGCCTTCCTGAGGCCTGGACCAGCAGTTGTGTGATAGGTTGAACATTTTCAGGTGCAGCTATATAGAGTATGACGCAGATATGTATGTAATGTAATGGTATGTAATGCAATGCAATGTAATGTGTATATATATATATATCTAATGTAATTGTAATTGTAATTGTACTTGTACTTGTACTTGTAATTGTAATTGTAATTGTGTTTGTAATTGCAATTGCAATTGTAATTGTAATTGTAGTTGTATGTTATGTTATGTTATGTTATGTTATGTATGTTATGTATGTTATGTATGTAATGTATGTAATGCATGTAATTTATGTATGTAATGCAATGTAACGTAACGTAACTTAACGTAATGTAATGTATGTAATGTATGTATGTAATGTAATGTAATGTAATGTAGTGCAATGTAATGGTATGGTATGGTATGAAATGTGATGTAATGTAATGTAACGTAACGTAATGTACTGTATGTAATGTATGTATGTAATGTAATGTAATGCAATGTAATGGTATGGTATGGTATGGTATGGTAATGTATGGTATGGTAAGGTATGGTAATGTATGGTATGGTATGGTATGGTATGGTATGCGTATGTATGTATGTATGTATGTATGTATGCATGAATGTATGTATGGGATGGTATGGGATGGTATGGTATGGAATGGAATGGAATGTAATGTAATGCAATGTAATGTAATGTAATGGTATGTAATTGTATGTAATTGTATGTAGGTATGTAGGTATGTAGGTATGTAGGTATGTAGGTATGTAGGTATGTATGTATGTATGTATGTATGTATGTATGTATGTACAACTTTTTTGTTTTTTTGGAGGCCAACCAGGGTCCCTGGTTTGACCCATAGCACTTTCAGTGAGGTGGCAGAAATTTTGGAAGGATCCACAGGGACTGCCCACCAGTGATCAGGGTGCCCCCCTGTCTAAGCGTACACTGTTGCTCACCACTAGCCTTTGCCAGCTTTGTGTCTGAATGATTGGGCTAGCTTCTTCCTCCACAACTTGGGAGTTTCACACTTTCCTTTGATTAGCACAACCACACTTGCACTATGACATTGGTTGCGATTTCTCAGAGTCTCAGTATTAGCAGATTGGTTGTGAAATCAATCCAGGTCCATCTTCAAGACATATCTCTTCCCACCAGCCAAGGTGCTACTGCTTGGCACGGCTGGAATGAGAAACAGCCCGAAAACTCAGATCACAAGAGACAAGAGTCCTGTGTCCAAAAGCGGCATCTGAACAAAACGCCATCTACCCTTTTTGCATAGTGCACATATGTGATTCAACTTGCTCCTGGCACATGCCGACACACCGTTCGGTTGTATCTTTGCCGTGCTTTGCCATGATGAGTGCTTTAAACAAAGGCCACAAAGAGCCAATACATGAAATATCATGAACAACGCTTGGTATGCATCGAGAGTCAGGCCACCGGAAATCGATGATAGATTTTGTTCTGCTTTGCATTTGCATCTCCTCGCAAGCAAGATAACCTCCGATTTCGGATGTTCAGGGTGCTGCGGCGGAACATGCTGCACTCAGAATGAGTCACACACACAAACACTTACGACTACTGATTACTGTAGTTCTCACATAGCGCCAGACGCCAGAGCAGACTGACTGAGCAGACCAACAACTAGCTGGCTTCATGGGAATCCAACACTCCGACTAGCTCACTCCTGCTATGAATGGACCGGGCGTGCCGCCCGCTGGTTGGCCATGCGATCCTTGGCTGAAGAAGCTTCTGATTTGCCCGAACTCCAAGTAGTGGGTCTCCACAAATAAAGGAAAAACTGTTTTCATTACGAAGGGTACGGTAAAGTCCGGATACTATCGCCAGCGAGTAGCGCTGATTTGCAAGCTTTACAAGCTTGTTCAACGCTTCGTCAGGCATTTTCAGGCGTCGAACAGCTGGTCTTTTGATAGACGTCCGTGTATTGCCTGTCAGGAACGAATTCTGGTGAAGAATTTGCCCATGAACTCCACAGAGGGCAGTGTCCGTGGCCTTTTCGAGACATATGCAGCTATTGAAGGCTGGGCTCCAAGAGTTCACAGAGCAGTCTTTATTTGTGTCCTATATAAAAAGTTTCGAGCAGAATTTTGAAACAGAATTCGCTTTGATACTTTCACGATGGCAGGGATTCGGATGCTTCCACCCATCCCGGGCAAGAACGGCTTGGCCGCCTATATCACCTTTCAGAATTTGGAGGAGGCCGGGATCCGCTAGGCAAGGCTGGCTTGACTCTGGGCTTGTGCGAACTGTTGAGGCCAAGTGGGTTGTGGAGAACATGAACAACAACCCTCTCCAGGGCCTGCCCGAACCCTTGCAACCCGGCACGGGTCTGCCGTGGTTTGTAGACATGACAAAGATGGCTGGGAAAGTGTCCGCAAAGGAATGACTTGATTGCAGCAAACCTCATTGCCTTCAAAATTGATGCTTTGCCAAACACCTGGATCCTAATGGATGCAACACACGGTCTGTGACCCTAATCCATGAGACATCATCGACTTGGTGCCCATGTAGTGGCCCTATAGGTGCGTCTTTTGTTCATGCTGAGGAAGACACAGGAGGTCACCATGGTTCTTCGGAGAAAACACCAATGGTTCTTTCTCCCAGACCGTTTTCCAACAGCATCAGCTTAAAGAATTGCGTAGCTCAGGCAGCTGAGCTTCGACAATGTTGGAAAGGGCGACTTGGTTGCCATCCAGTATTTGTTTGTCCGGGTGCGTGCCCGTCCAGAAAAAGTCAAGATGCCTATATACATAGAGACGCAACACAATTGTCAATGCAGCGACATTCATTTGGAGGTCATAGGCGCAACATATATACATGTCGCACGAGATCCCCAGATTAAGCGAAGCACTTTGCCAGAAGAGGTTTCAATGCACTGCAAGATCAAGCAAGTGCTTTGTGGAATCATAGAAGATGCGTGCTGACGATTCTGGTGCTGCTAGCATATGCACAGGTCAAGGTTTGGGCAGGCTGGGGCCTGCTGTGCTTGGCGGGCACCAGACCGGCCAAAGGCTATCTATCTCTCGCGCCAGCCCATGAGACTGCGACCTACTACAGTCCCGGACCTGCTCATCGTTGGGGCATGCTGAGTTTCCGCCCAGTGTTTTCTGAACCAACTCATTGAAGCCAAAGAAATGATGCAAACGCACAGAAGCAGGTGCCAGCCCAGCTGCATCCCACATGCACCTGGCAGTACAAAGTTTGCAGGCTTCCCTTGATCCGTACAATCAGCCAGCTTCAGTTCACTCACCCAACAACCCCTCAAAGTGGCCAGTCCAGCACCGCATTTGTTCCAAGGCATACCAAGAAACTTGATGAGAGCACACCACAACAGTTGCATTATATATGAGTTTAGCCAATCACTGACTTGCAATAGAACGGAAGCAGATTAGACAAAGCTTGATGACCGAATGCTGAGTTTCAATCCCTCAGCATGGCAGATTGTCATGCTGAGGCCAGAAGGGAGGAATGCACCAACCTTAGTTTATTTCAATGCCTCCCAGTGCAAGATTCGAGCTTCTGCAGCTTCCTCGACAGAGTGATTGTTGTTGATGTAAACTTCCATGGGGTATATATATATATACATATAATGTATAGCTTGTTGACCAAACTAACTTGATTTGTTTGAAGCTGCAACTTGTGTCGCTCTGCTAGCCACTCAATGGATAATTTTCTTGCAGAGGCGGCATAGTAATAATTCTGATGTATTAACTCATGGCCCAGAGGGCTCGAGTCGGGCTCGAGGGGCCGTGGATTGCTTGGTGAGCAACTTAGGAAGGGCCCTTATGATGGTCCCTGGCAGAAGACAATTATGTTGCTTGGACGAAGTTCCTAGCTTGCCTAGAGTTGTCCTGATTCGCCAAATTATTGAAGGAGTCTTGTGAAGATGTCTTGCCCTGGTCGCATCTGAGGTGTAAGTACTTTCAAGCAAGCGGATCCTGTAGACTTCAGGACGACTTGTCAAACTTTTGGCCGAAGAAACAGAAAGGATTCAACAACCATCGAGCGACTTGAAACGAGATCCAGGCACACCCTAGAGGCCTTAGAATCAATACAACTGTTTGCAGAATGAGATAAGGTCCGCCCATGAAAGAATATGAACTTTATAGATTTTGCATGAATTTGCTGTATGAGCAACTCAGTCCCTCACGTTGACGAAGATGATGGACGGGTTCCTACAGCCTGAGAGCTTGAATTTCGATTGGTTTCACGATTTCGGATCCAGGACTCGTGCCCCTTTGCTCACAGCGAGTCGGAGGTGGCGGCTGCAAAAGGCAAAGGCAAAGGCTTTGACAAGGGCTTTGACAAGGGCAAAGGCTTTGACAAAGGCTTCGAAAAAGGCTTTGAGAAAGGCTTTGACCCTGCATTTGGGGATCTGACGCTCTGCTGTCACAACGCGCTTGCAAGCGAACAATATCATTTGTGGTGAACATGAACATGTATGCCGCTGCCCAGGGAGCACATGCCATGTTTGCCACACACCCACCACGCACGCACGCACGCACGCACGCACCCACACACAATTATATACACCCCACCCCTCCCCTCCCGCTCACCTGCCTCACACCCTCCACCCATCCCCAGTACGTCAGCGAACCTAACGTCAATTCGGTTAATCCCATTGGAATTTTAGAGAACACCAAATAACTTTCAGAATGATGTGGCAGAAGCAACTAGGGTGCTACCATGCAATGTAAAGTAAAGAAGCAGATGCTGTAATTTACAATGAAAGTGAACACTTGTCGCCGGTGATGATGTATGTAACAACATGCATGCGATGACAAGTGATTTGGACAAACGCGCACGACTTCACGTACGGTTGTCCAGCCGTTAGCTAAACTTGCATTAGGAAGACGTCACATGTAAAAAAAACATGGGCTTGTTTGGGAGTCCATTTTGAGGTGGTCACGCACATCCCACATCCCACATCCGCTCTTTTGCATTTGCAACCTCCGTCCACACTTCCAAGGAAAGGTGGGGCGATGCTAGGCTCTTATCCGAAGGGCGTGGGCAAAGGACCCATGCCTATGGGCAAAGGACCAGGACTTGCGCCGATGGGCAAAGGACCTATGTCAACGGGCAAAGGACTTGGGTTGACAAACCACTTCCAAAGCATTTGGGATTGAGGTTCTTCTGCCGGGAGAATGATCGAGACATGTTTGATTGGAATGAATAAGGGTGTCGTCGCTAGAGACTTCAGAGACACAGTCATAGTCATTTATCATTTGCCAAACACATATAAGCTGGTAGACCACCAAAAAGTTATAGTAAGGGCTCCGCCCTGGTGCCGCCGACCCCTTTTCTTGGGGGAGGAGCGCGGCGCTGCTGCTGCGTGGTGCTGCTGGCTGCTATAACCATACACCGGCTATTTCCTCAAGACACTCTATTCTTGACACCTTTTACCAGTGCTTATCCTACACTACGGATGCCCTAGTGTATGCACAGTCCTTGTGATGCTTACCCCTCGTTCCGGCTGAAGGCATAGATAAGCGGGGGGTAAATTGACGCCCCAGATTTGCCATAACCACAAGCCGGCTATTTCCTCAAGACACTCCAGTCCTTATACCTTTTACCAGTGCTTAGCCTACACTACAGACGCCCTACTGTATGTGCAGTCCGTATGATGTCAGAAATGCTTACCCCTCTTTCCGACTCAAGGCATACAAAAGCGGCGGGTAAATTTACCCCCTAAATTTGCGGAGCACGCATCTTCGTGCTTGCCAACGAGTGCACCCGGGTTGTTCCAATGTACCCTGCCCAGTCAGCGATGTCGCATTTACATTCTCTAGCGCCAAGTATGTACATAGCAAGCTTCCTCCCAAAACATGTAATCCCTACACGCTTTGCCGACTATGTAACTAGTACATCCGGTGCGACTCGGCTAGCGTTCGACCTGCTCTTCCTGCCTTCAAGTGATGCTTATCCCTCGTTCCGGCTCAAGGCATACATAGCGGGGGGTAAATTTCCCCCCAAGATTGGCAATAACCACAAACAGGCTATGTCCTCAAGACACTCTATTCCATATACCTTTTACCGGTGCTTCTCCTACACTACGGACGACCTAGTGTATGTACAGTCCGTATGATTTTAGAAATGCGTACCCCTCTTTCCGACTGAGGGCATACAAAAGCGGAGAGAATTTACCCCCCAGATTTGCTGATCACGCACGTCGCCGTCGGAAGCCCATAGAAAAAGCTTTCTGGGCCAAGCTGCGGCCTGCAGG